TACGTAAGGATCTGGAAAATTGATCTGTGTCAAGTATGTGAGGATCTAAGGGGATTGAACAAGACAGGCATGCACTGGGCTTCAAAGAATGGCAATTACAATCACAAGCTGACGCACAACGTGTATTCACAGAACTAATGGTTCCTGACGGAACTATTCCATCCAATTAGAGCCATGGGTTTTCATTCAGGGGTCTGTGGAAGTATTCCAGCGTGTCCATGGAGAACACAGCACATTGTAAGGCAAGCAAACTTCCTTGATAAAAGTTTTATCATGAAAATGTACCTCATATAGCGGTTGCGGGACCTTGCATTGGCAGAATATCTGAGATAGTCCGAATGCAATCTGCAAACATCTGTCATGAACACGTTTTTACCTTCTTAGTTAAAGTAATTTAATATATGTTGTTGCTTAAAAGTAAAAAATGTCAAGTGTAACCTTCTAGATTGTAAAAATGAAGTCTTGTTAAAAAGTTTAAATTCTTGAAAAAATAAATGTTGGAATATTTAGTTGGCATAATATTTGATTGATTTTATTTGCAATTTAGTTTTAAAATATTAATATAAAAAAAAAAACTTTTGGCCGCCAAATCAAAGTGGGATGGGATGGGATGTAACCAACATTCAGGAAGTCACATTGTCGTTTGGCAAGAAAACCATAAAACAAAATAAGTCAACCAAAGTTACTCTCTTGAGTATTTAACAGACAAGTACTATCAAATCAATATATCTGCAGAAAATTTCAATAAAAAAAAAAAAACACAAGGATTTAATTTCTAAGAACTTTCTTAGAGCTTTTGACAAGATTTATTCTTAATATTTATTTTTATTCTTAATAGCCTATTTCTTTCATCATTTGCCACCAAGTCAAAACTGGAGCTCCACTTGTTGCTTTCTGTCGCCATTTGAAAGGACTCAAGAGCAACATAACGGGACACTATGTTCCTCTACCAAACCCTGATGGAAAATAGCCTACATTCTGTTTCACACATTTCTGTGCAGTGCTTTTAATATTGAAAAAGTATTGAAAATTATTTGTTTACTTTAGGATCTGCAATTTAAAAGTTAATGCATGCACAGCAATTATTTAAACTTACAGAAAAAAAAAAAAAAAAAAAAAAAGAATTCACCAAACGAACCTTGCATTGGTACAGTCGTTGTACAACGCTTCGAAATCTTTTCTGGAAATGAGTTTGCAGCGGTTCACTCCGGGCTGGATGGCACCGAGTCCGCGCAACACGCGCACCTGCTCCACGGAGCACACCACCGGGTTTATATCCAAACGCTTGAGTTTCGTGTACACGGTGTGCAGTCCGCCGACAAGGTGCTTCAAGAACAGGTCGAAGACTTGCGGGAGACAAATGAGCTCTTGACCATCAACGTTGAAAGAAGCGACTTTCACCCCGTGCACCTCCACGATTTTGCATTCGTTTGTCGCTACGCCGCTCGGAAGCGTCGCGTTCAGCGAGTTGATCAGACGCGGAGAGTCCGTGGGACTCGAGAAGAACGGGTCAGCTCTGAAGAGTTTACCGGACACTACAGAAGTCCCAGAGTGAACCGGAAGAGTCGCAGGAACGGCCATAGTGGTTATTACAATTAACTTTCTTAATGTGCCCTTTTACGTCGTCTACTTTCTCATCCCTCACTCTCTTATGTGCGTCCCTCTCTTATGCACTGCGTCCAGAGAGCAAACTGGCAGCAACGAGCCGCGCGCCCCTCTTTACCCGTGTGAAAATTCAGATGAACGGAGCGCTTCACGGTTCGGTTGACTCCGCCTCTCATTGGAAGAATGATGCACCATTTTGCCAACCACATGTGCTCCAATTTATGCGTAAAGACTTCACTGGAGGGCGAGAAATTACAGCCCTCCTCCTCTATTGAACGAGTGTCCAGCTCAATGCTTCTCTCAAGCTGTTATGATCATTCAGACGAGACATCCCAACCCATATCTGAAACCATCCATCAATCTCAAAATTATTCTAAACTTTTTTTTCTCATTATATATATATATATATATATATATATATATATATATATATATATATATATATATATATATATATGTATATGTATGTATGTATGTATGTATGTATGTATGTATGTATGTATGTATGTATGTATGTATGTATGTATGTATGTATGTATGTATGTATATATATATATATATATATATGTATATATATATATATATATATATATATGCTTTTTTAATTAATAATAGGCAAATTCTTTTTTGAAGTAACTACAAATAGGCAATTTATTGGTGAAGGCTATTTGCACAGATTCGCCCACTCTGCTCACACAATTTACCACAGTACAAATAGCACATTAGCCTACTTCTATTTACATTTTGTGTGAATAGCTTCCTTCACTATTTACACTTTGTAAAGTATAAACATAGATATGCTATTTGCACATGTTGAAAACACCATTTACACTATGTAAACAAAACTTACAGGGAATATTTTATAGCCTATTTCTTTTTTTAAAAAATCGTTTGTCACACCATGGAACATTTAAGTTGTTATTTTAGTTGTATTTAGCTACTATTATAGTACTTATTAATATTTGAAATTAACTATTTTATTTGAAATTAATTATTTTAAATTTGTTATGTGCTTTCGATTTGTATTCAGCTTTAATTTATTTGTATTTCAGTTTGAGTAATTTTAGTATTTCAACTAACTTATTTTAAGTTATGGCAACATTTCTAATCATCCATCCATCCGATAAAGTACTCTTGAACCATTTTTTTCATATGAACCTCTGTCCATAAAATACAATATTCACAAAATATTTGGTAACACTTTATTTTAGTGTCCTCGTTACATATGTTACTGTAACTGTAATAACAGTAAATTACGCATAAGTGCATAAATTAACCCCAAACCAAACCCTAATGCTATAGTAAGTACTACATGTATTACTCAGTACTTACAATGTATAATTACACTGTAACAAAGAATCCTTAAAAATAAAGTGTAACTGAAATTTCCACTCATGCAGAGAAAAAAAGTTGCAAATATTGTACCTTTAGGGGTACAAAAGCTCGTTGGGGCAGTACCCTTAAAAAGGAAATCTTTGTACCTTTTGTTTATTTTTTACCACAAAAAGGATCATAGTAGTATAGGTACGTATTTCTACTCTAAGGTATATACACCTTTTGGAGTAAAAAAGGTACACAGATGTCCTTTTAAGGGTACTGCCCCAGCAGTCCAATGTGTTACACACACTAAACTGTTCATGCACACTAAATTGTGCGCGATAGTCCTATGTCAAGAAAATAAAGCGTGAATTAAGAAGCATGGTCCTTAGGCAATAGAAGAATCAGCTTTGTCTTTTATAGGTCAGGCTAAGTCAGGTACTCAAGCGTTTGAATGCCATCTGTTCAGCATCATTGGGAAAACAAGCTCACACATCTGGATGCGTCTGTGGAAAGACTTCTGTGCACCCCTCTCCTGGGACTCGTGAGAAATCCTTTGAGAAAAATGCCATTAAAATACCCCACACATCTCCTTAACAACATTTGTATTCCCATCAGGCATGCCATCTCTTTATTCACATTAATGAATTTGTAAAATCTCTTTTAAAGTGTTCTGTAATGGAAAATGGATAGTTCAACCAAAAATTGTGGCATCAATTACCTAAAGCTTATATCCCATTAAATCGATTTTCCTGAACATCACTGATAGAAACACCTTTGTTGTTGTAGAATTTGTAGCAAAATATGATTTAACTGTATATTAATAGGACAAAAGTACTATTAAATTAGATGAAAATAAAGGCATTTTTTATAGTGACCTCACGCTTTAGAAGCAGTTAGCCAAATACAGTAGATACTATTTTGCTATAGAGCTTTCCGACTATTTATTGCAAGATTATAATGTCTAGAACAATGGTCTTATCTCAGCATGAGCTTTTGATATATACACATTTAGAAAACTAACTGACTCAGACGACATAGAGTAGTCATGAAACCATTACAAAACAGCATGCTAATAAAACTGATTTAGATGCATGATCTAAACAATCTATCAACATTATGAACACTTGAAAAACTCCTTTTGGATATTGAAAAGCAACTTCACAACTTTCCATTGTAGACCAAAGTCAATACATGTGGGATTAGGATAAAGTGTCAGGAAAATGTCAATGACCTTAATGACACTTTGACCTGAATTTGGATATCAGGGTGAAATTTAATTATGAACAGTAAGAATGAAACTTTCTGCAAAACGAGGCTGGAGTTAATCCATTCAAATCCAATTTAAAGGAGAGAGAGAGTGTATAACAAGTATTAAACTGACATGCTGCTCTTTAAATGGTTAAAATGAATAGTGTGAAGGCTGTAGCTGCAGAAACACTCATTTAGAGGTGAAGGAATGATTTGAAAATGGAGTATTAATATAAGGGTATTAATTTGACCCCAAAAACCTTTAAACATACCATTTGAACACTGTATTAATACTTCTGGCATTTCCGTCACCCGTTTTCACGATATTGTTATGTGTAGCATTTAGAGTGAAGTGAAGGGAAGTTTTTCCCATCTTATTTATGTATTTAATTATATTATAGGCTATGTTAAATATCATATTTAAATTTGTATAAAAAAAATAAAATGTCAGTTAGCAGATGTTCTTATCCATAGCGATTTACAGTATAATCTATTAACAAAACCTGTAATACACCAGTTTCTATTTTTGACATGCGTTCTTGAGGGGAAGTTAAGCATATGGATTTGAAGATCATTCATTTTTATGTGATTAACACTCATTTAAGTTAACAAAAGAGAATGATGAAAATGTGTCCATGGCATCTTACCTTTGTTTGTATATCATTGACATTAAACCATCTTGCTTTCAGGATCAAAGCTGAATATCTATGTAAAAAAAGTTAGATATTAAAGATATTGAAATGAAATGTAAAGGCAAATAATCATAATTGACATTTAAAAGTTCTACTAATTAAAATACACAAATACTACTATTTAAAATGCAACTTATTAACCCATTAAACAGGAAATATTACATACTTTGATACAATTTCTGAATAGATAACTATACTGGACACAGTTTCATTGTTAAAGAGGATTTGAACACACACACACACACACACACACACACACACACACACACAACACTAAACAGAAAAGGCAAGGTCAGTCGGTCAGAGATTTGGTTACTTGCTTGATTTGGATCACTTCAAGGGCACAAGGAATGAGAGAATAAAGAAAGAGTATGGACCATATTTCTACTCCTGTCTTATCAATTTTTCCCCTTCTTTCAAACACATGCATTTACAGACAGAGAGACACATATCTGCCACTCAAAAGAGCAGTATAAACATATAAAAAGATCAGACGAGTGGCCAAACGTCTTCAGTAAATGGAAAAATAAATCCAGATGCACTAGAATAAACCTTACAGGATGGACTATGATGACCTAGATAATGAAGAACCCTCATAAATCTGATAAATACAGTATAGTACACACGTTAATGATCTGCTATTTAGAATCGGATGTGCATCTAGAATTATTATTTGCCGAAATTAAGCGTGTCCCAAGCTGTCATCCAGAAAGAAATGACTGCCACATGTATGAAAAAACAGCTAAGTCTTAGACACGCTCTCCCTTTACTTTCCGCAGCTCTTTGTCATTGTGTGCAAATGAGAACAGATGTGTTGCTTATCTGGCAGATGCTAAAAACACTTACATGAATTTTCCTCTTGGTTAAATGAGTCTGAGGTGACAGCAGCCTAAAGTGACACTGATGAAAGGTGAAGTCTCCTCCAGCTCAATTTTACTGCTGTTATTATACGCATGAACTGAATTTGGACATTTGTTAGGGCTAAATTTAGCAATAATTACTTAATCTCTGGACTTTCTCTAAGTCAAAAACAAAACAAAAGGGGATTGTGCATTTGTAATTGAAGTCACCCTGTTGGGAACTTTTTAAATCTTGAATACATGTTCTCCCAGACACTATAATAGTGCAGAACTCCTTGGACTTTTACGTAGAGGAAAATTAGCTTAATTATTAACTAAATTCAAATGAACTTTTTACTATATGTGGCAATATTGTACTTTTATAGTACAAAAATTCAATATTTTACAAATAAATGGATTGAATTACACATTATATTTATTTAAGTATTAAATATTAGGATTGGGGTTGCAATGCTTACTTAGTCATGTACCGTATACGAGATTACTGTAGTAAAATCTGCTAATCCCATTAATTTCCTTCCATTTACAATTCTAATAAATTGTAGATCCACTGCAGTAAAAACTACTAATGTGCAGCAACTAGCAGCCAGAAAAATACTGTAGATTTACACTAAAATGTCTGTAAAGGAATGTAGGCTAAGTGCAAGATAAATAATGACCAAATGATTTTGAAGATATGGCGCTGATTGATGCTGGAACACAGCTTGGAATGTTGCATGATTTACAACTACAAGTGTTCGCTCAGCGATTCACCAACTGTGGGTTTTGCAAAGCTCAGATGAGAGATATAAAACCACGACATTATTATGACAATGAAGGCTTATGACTAACAGTTGAAGTCGAGCAGAAAAAAAAAAAAAAAAAAAAAAGATGCAATAAGGTGTCAAATCAACTAGGCCAGCAGCCATATCACCCTGTAGCCCAAGACTGGTTGCCCACTGAAGCTAAGCAGGGTTGAGCCTGGCCAGTACCTGGATGGGAGACCTCCTGAGAAAAACTAGGTTCCTGCTGGAAGAGGTG